TGCCAATGTGACTTGACATCCACCACAGGCTCAAAACATTTGTCTGCAGAAACTGTCATCCTCAATTTTATGAGCTGAAATGCAGAGAATGTAAATTGTTTGTCAGTTTTTTTAAAATGTAACATGAATCTCAATTGAGAAAATTAACATTTGTATTCATTTTTAAGGCCAGTTATAAATTTGTCATCAATGATGCAAAAGAATTCATATATAAGCAAGTTGCTCTTTTGATCAGGTATTTTTCTATCCCTTCTAGTGTAGTTAGTGGGTAAGCCAATAACAGATTTTTTTGACTTAGCTATGTACACCAGGGACATTTTTCTTAACTGGTATTGTTGACTTCATCATCTTTATGTTCAGTTCACACTAGAAAAGAATCAGTTGTTAACGTAAACATGAAGCTTTCCTGAACTAAAGCTTTGGGAATTAAATTCCCAGTTTTTTTTTTCCCCTGAGAAATAAATACTCTGAACTCCTTCTGCACATAGTCAGAGTCCTACTGCTGAAGTGCTGGGAAATTCTGCCAATTACTAGTGCAAATAATGCATGAATGTGGCTGACTAGCTCCCTTCAGTTGTTCTGTGCGGGGAAAAAGAGTCTCCAATTGAAGTCTTGATTTCTGAGCAAGGCTACAGTAGACTCAGAAATTTACAACACACCATTTGGCCTATCTGGTCTGCACCAGTCAACAAAGATCCTGCTACGTTAATTCATTTTCCAGCTCTTGGTCCATAACCTAGGAGTCTCTGGTAATCCAAGTGAATATCTGAACACTCTAAAATGTTACAGGAGTTTTAGACTCACTGGCCCTTTCAGGCAGAGTGTTCCAGACTGCCACTACCATCTAGGTGAAAATTTCCCTGTAACTCTCCTCTTGGCTTTCTACTTTTTGCCTTGAATCTATGCCCCTTGGTTACTGACCGTCTCTTCCAATCCACCCTATCAATGCCCATCATATTCTGTCACTTCTGTCAGGTCCCCTCCCAACCTTTGCTGCTCCAAGGAAAACAACACCAGCATAGCCAATCTTTCCTCGTAGCTCAGATCCTCCCAGGCAGCATATATTCTGTAGCCTTAAGTACAGTCACATCCTTCCTGTAATGTGATGACGGGAATTGCATGCAGTGCTCCAGTGTGGCCTATGCTTGTGTTTTATACGGTTCCTAAATAACTTCTTTGTTTTTATGCTCCTTGCCTTGGTCAATAAAGATGTTTATCTCATATTCCATCTGAAATGCCTTAACTGCCTATTGGGATCAGTGCATGTCCCTCAAGTCTCCAGTACTTTTCAAGGTCCTACCATTTATAGTATAATTGCTTGCCTTGTTAGCCATTCCAATTGCATTACTTCTCTTTTCTGGTTGAATTCCATTTTCCATTGCTCTGTCCATGTGAATAATCTGTTACCCTCCTTCTGCATCCTCCTCCTCCTGACTATTTGCCACTCAATCAATTTTTGTTATCTGCAAACCTCTTGATCAGAGCCCCACATTTAAGCCTACATTATTAATGTACGTCACGGCTAGAAAGGACCCACATACCAAACCCTATAGAACCACGCTGGAAACAGGGTGCTATTTTAAAAAATAAATTGTTCCCTTCCTATCTTGCATATCAAAACTATTCCAGTTAGTATTTGGGTGGTTAAAATTTCCCTACTGCTACCAGCTTATTATAACTTCACTGCATATTTGATCCTCTGCCCCTCCCAGACAGTTTGGGAGTCTATAGTAGACATCCAATTGTGAGTTTTCCTGTTTTGTGATTTTTTTTTTTAACTTGTACCCATAAGGCCTCGTTTGATGATTCTTCCAAGATATCATCCCTCCTTATTCCTACAGTTGATTCTTTGATCAGTGTTGCAACCTGCCCCCTATTCTGCTCCCCTCTTTATCTAGTTTGAATACCCTTGAACCAGAAATGGTGAGCTGTCAATCCTGCCTCTCAGCCACGACTCAATCATTGCTATGACAACATTCTCTCATGAGCTTAACTGCCCTCAGCCTGCCTGTCTCATTTCTCAGGCTGATTCCTAAACACAATTCTTACTCATCTAGCCTATGTTTCCTCTGCCTGGCTCTCAAAAGTTTAACTTCTAATTCCAGTTCAATTTCTGTCACGTCTGAACTACTTCTTAGGATCTCATCTCCTTACCGATCTGCCCTCAACAGCATTAACAAGCCTCCCTGCAGGGATGTTTATCCTATTCCTGTTCGGATGTAATCTGACTTCTACAGGTCCTCTCTCCCTGACAAGTGTTCCCACTGCCTTGAGAATCTAAAGCCTTCTCTCCTGCTACATTTCTCCAGCCACACGTTCAACTGCTCTATCTCTCTATTTCTATACTTACTACTATGTGACAACGGGAGTAATCTTGACTTTGCTACCTTTTAAAGTCTAACTTTTCTGTTTCCTACCGAACTTACTGGAGTCTGCTTGCCGAATCTTATTTCTATTTCTTTGTATGTCGTTGGTCCCTACATAACTTTTAGCTCTTCACCCTTCCCTCTTCAGAATGTCCTGCAGCTGTACTGAGACATCCTTGACCCTGCCACCAGATAGGAGATGTGCCATTCTGGAGTCACATCCATGTCCCCACCCTGAGCAACTAGACAACCCACCTCAGCATGGCCTTAGTTGGCCCTCACAGAGCAGCTGCCACTCTCACCGCTTTTCCAAGTCTGAGAAACTGTGAATGAGGTGCACTGAGGATTTCCACATTACCTGTCTGACTGCCATCCATTCTTGCTCTGTCTGTGCTTCCTTAAGCTAAGGGGTGACAGCACCCTATGACAATCCACCTACCTGCCGGGTGAATGCACTGTACTGGAGCTTGGGTTGCTGCAGTCAGAACATGGTCATTCAGATCTCTAGGAGTGTCCGATTTCCTGTATAGTGCAGGATGTCTAGGTCTGAGCTCTGCAGTCATTTTTTGACTTAATAGAAATGGTTCTTTGCTTTTATTTTACCATTATTCCTACTTAAGGGATACGGTGAGAACGCGGGTAAGTGGATCTGAGTCCACGAAAGGATCAGCCATGATCTTATTGAATGGCGGAGCAGGCTCGAAGGACCAGACGGCCTACTCCTGCTCCTAGTTCTTGTGTTCTTGTGTTCTTAAGTATTGAATAGAAAAATCGTTTTCTTGTTTATATCTGACCAACAACCAAACTCGTTAACTCTGTTTAGCCATGGAACTCCATTTTGAAGTTCTAAAATATTAATTTATCTATGGAACGTTTTTAACTTGTACTGAACGGTTTTTACTTAATTTAGTATCTAATTGTGAGACAGGAGAGAAATACCACCATTTATCTACTTACTGTCCTTTTCTTCAAAATCTTCTTTGTTGAAGAAGCTCTATTGCTGGTCAGTCTGCCGATCTTTTTACTTTCGCTGCACCTTTTAACCTCTGCTATCACTCCAGAGTCCCCCACAGGCTCACTGCTGGTCTGTCAGCTTCCGGGATCTCTTTGCTTTCACTGTTTCTCTTAACCTTCCTGCTGCTGGTTCCACATCCCATATAGGCCCCCGTGATGTTGTAAAGCATGAATGAAGATCCTGAAATGGTTCTAACAATATTTTGTAAATACCAGCATGTTATTGAAAACTAGTTAAAGTTGTAGTGTTTTCATCTTGCTTGAAACCTCATTGTGGACAGTGTAATTTTCTTTTCCAAAAAAAATCTGGTTCTTCAACTTGTTTAGAGATTCTTCTGACTGGCAATTCAGAAATGGTTGTTTTTATCAATGTTACACTGTAGCTTTTAGCAGTCTTGTGGCTGCTTTACGATTATTCTTTCAAATCCATCATAAAACAGTGTGACAGGAAGTAAGTAATTCAGGGCGGTTGAAGGGCCTGACACATTTTACATGGAAACATAGCAACATAGAAGATGGGAGCAGGAGTAGCCATTTGGCCCTTCAAACCTTCTCTGCCATTCATTATGATCATGGCTGATCATCCAACTCAGTTGTCTGTGATGCTTTTCCCCCACATTATCCTTGGATCCTTTTAGCCCCAAGTGCTTTATCCGACTCATTGAAATCATACAGTTTTGACCTCAACTGCTTTCTGTGGTAGTAAATTCCACTTGCTCACTCCCCTCTGGATGAAGAAACTTCTCATCATCTCAGTGTTAAATACTTTATCCTGTATCTTTAAATGTGACTGAAGGCCTCCTTCCTGCGTCTACTCTGTCTTGTCCTGTCCTGTTAGAACTTTACAGGTTTCTGTGAGATTGCAACCGCCCCCACACACCAGTCTCCTGAACTTCAGCGAATATAATCTTAACCAATTCATCCTCTCCATATGTCATTCCTGCCTTAGCAGGAATCCGTCTTCACTGCACTCCCTCTGTAGCAAAAACTTGAATAAGAAGTCCAAAAGATGCACACAATATTCCAGATGTGGTCTCACCAAGGTCCTGTATAATTTCAGCAAGACGTCCCTGTTTCTGCACTTTAATCCTTTCGCTATGAAAGCCAACGTACCGTTTGTTGTCTTCACCTCCTGCTCCACCTGCATGCTGACCTTCAGTGACTGATGTATCAGAATTGCTGGGTCTCGTACATTCCTTTCTCTCATTTTATAGCCATTCAGATAATAATCTGCCTTCCTGTTTTGGCTACCAAATGGACCCAGTGTGTATGAAGATCTATGCTGATTGTTATTTTCAAAGTTGGGGACAAGAGTAATTCATTGTAATGACACAAGTTTAATTCTGATTGAGGATGTTGAATACTTTAAGTTTAAATGGTGTTTTATAATTGAACAAAAATTGAACAAAATTGTGGCAAAATATTAGATGATTCTTGTCACTGGAAGTGTTGAGTATCAAGTGGAAATTCGTGACCATTTTCTTCCTGTTGAAAGCTGTTTTGGTCATGGTACCTAAACTGCATTTGAGAGGATTTGTTTTCACTTAATGGGGATTTTTTTTTAAGAAATAGAAATTTTAAAAAAAAGATTAACTGATGACATCTCATTATAATTAACAGGAACAAATATATCAAATCCTTGATGCAATGTTTGAGAGGAAAGTTGAACCTTCAGAGCACGTCATTGACCAAGATGACGATGGAGACAATTTCTATGTAATTGAACGGTAAGGGATTTAAACTTGGTAATATTACAAGGTTTCTGTTTAAACCTGATTTTTAAAAAAATTCTTCTGTAAATGAACCCCTTTTGCAATGACGTGTGGGGCTTTCACCAGGATGTTGTAGCTCAAAACTGCTGTACACATTAAATAATGAAATCCTTGTTGCATTTTAAAAATTAATTTGCTTTCCAGATAAGCTCAATTTAGTTGGTGTTTAATTTTTCAGGTCCAGCCATTGACCTTTTTCCTTTTTAACCAGTTATTATTAAACCTTTTTATTTTGTAAAGCATTAAAAGGTCTTTCACAAAGCTGTTCCACGTGCATCATTTCCTTTGGGCCTGAAGAATAAATATTGTACCTAGAGATAGTAGGAACTGCAGGTGCTGGAGAATCCGAGACAACAAGGTGCAGGGCTGGATGAACACAGCAGGCCAAGCAGCATCATAGGAGCAGAGAGGCTGACGTTTCGGGCCTAGACCCACCTATCCTTGAGCACTTGGTGATGTTGAAGGAAGCACTCAATGCAAGATTAACATTGCACTGTAAAATCACAGTAACATGAGTGGATGTTTATTAAATTTTTAAAAAAATGCACTGCTGTTATTGATTATGTTTTCTAGCCTAATTTCTGAATTGAGAGGATGTGTCATGTGAGGAGAGATTGAAGAGACATGGCCTGTATTTCCTGATCTAATTAGCACACATAAAATTCTTAAGAACTTAACAGGGTGGCTACTGGAACAATGTTTTCTCTGGCTGGGAATCCAAAACTAGAGAATCACAGTTTCAGATAATTTAGGACAGAGAAGATGAGAATTACTTTCTCCCAAAAGTATTGTGAATCTTTGGAATTTTCTACCCAGGAGAGCTCTGAATGATCACTAGTTGCGAATATTTGAGACAAAGATTGATGAATTTTGAACACCAAGGAAACTGAATGATGATATTGAAAGCAGAGTTGAGATACAAGATCAGACTTGATTTTACTGAATGAAGGACCAAATTGAAGGACGAATTGTCCTAGTTCTGCTCATGTTTCATTAGAAATTCCACTATGTCAAGCTGTGAGGTAATGTTACATGACAACCTGATCTATAATCCTTGCTTATATCAAAATTAAGAAATCTATCTTTATAATTCATGAATAGTCATATGTTGCTTTGGTCAAATACAGGAGCTTCTAGAAATATAAAACTGTACCTTGTAAAAGCATTTGAAATTGGGCCTTTTCATAGTTGGTCCCTTCACAAACTTACGAAGCAAATTCTGGGTCAGTGCAAACTGCTTTCAGGTGAATTCTTTGTTTTGTTATTACTAGTGGTGTTTCTAGGTTTTCAGGCAGCCTACCATGCCCTCCTTCAGTTTGATTTCACTCCCTCTTGGCACACTCCTAATACCACAGGATCCTGCAAATGAGCTGATTTGGTTTTCTTTCTTCCTTTTTTCCTTCCAACCTAGTTGAAGTAGTTTAAGTTGCTCTTTCCACCTGATAAATTGGCTTTCCTTTTAACTCCATTTTGCATTTATTACCCTACCTCTAATTCTGTGAAGGTTTTTCTGCAAAGGTATTTCTTACTCTGATATTGCAATCTTGTACCTTGATATCCTGGTAATTATCCAGTCAAGCTTTCCTGATTTGAAGTCAGTTTCTTGATCTGAAGAATACATTTGGTTGTACAGAAACCTGATCCATGTTTTCTGTTAACCTGGATGGAAAAGACAGGTAAATTGGGATATGTTGCATTCTTTTATAAAATCTTTGTTTTGTAATGTCTCAGTGAATAGAAGGGCTTGATTTCTCACAATTTTTCCGCAGTGAAGCGTAACATTGTTTCCCTGTGCACTTTTTATTTTTGCTTTTATCACTCAGTTTTGTTTTTATTCCACTTATTCCTTTTTATGCTCCTTGAAGCAGATTCAATAACTTTCAAAGGTGGATTAGATAAATACTTGAAGGAAAATAATTCCAGGACCACAGATTGGGGCAAAAAGGAAAAGATGAATTGGACAGCTCTTTTAGAGTCAGGTCAGGTGCAGTGGTCCAAATAGTATCCTTCTGTGCTATCTTGTTCTATGATATCCTTGCGCATTTAGAGAGGTTTTGGAGCCACTGTGAAGCTTGTATCACTAAATTTACTAAAAGTGAACTCTCTCTCAAATTTCATTTTTGGTCCTGCAGAACTGGTGTCCACTTGAAGAGGACCAACTTGATAATGTATTCTCCCACTGTCAGAGCAGATTAGGCAATATGTCATTTGAAAATAGCATGCAAGAAGTTGGCAAGGCCAGTCTTTATTGGCCTTCATTGCCAGAGGGTTAGAATACAGGAGCAAGGACAACTTACACCAGTAGTACAGGGCCTGGGTGATATCACATCAAGAGAGTGTTATGTGCATTTTTAATCTTCTTGCCTTAGGAGAGCAGTGAACATTCACCAGGGGTGACTCTTGGACTGGCAGATTTATGGTATGAGGAGGTGTTGGATCGATTGGGCTTATATTTGCTGGAATTTAGAAGAATGGGAGGGGATCTCACTGAAATGTATTAAATTCTGACAGGGGACAGACTGGATTGAGGATTGATGTTTCCTCTGGTCGGAGGGTCCAGAATGTGGAGTCGTGGTCTCAGGGTACAGGGTAGTCCATTTTGGACTGCATTTCAGAACTATCTTCACTGAGGATGATAAGCCCATGGAATTCTCTGCCACAGAAGGCCAAGTCACTGAAAATGTTTAAGAAGGAAAAGATCGATTTCTAGACACTTCAAGGGTATTTGGGCAGAGAGTAGGAGTATGGCATTTAGACAGAGAATCAGCCATGATCGTCTTAAACAGTGGAATGGGATTGATGGGCTGAATGGCTTACTCTTGTTCCTATTTTCTGTTTTATGGGTAGATCTGTTTAGAGACTGGTGAGAAGTACACACTCAACTAAAAACCTTGCAAAGTATGCAGGTGTTTTAAATTACGTCTGTAAAATTTAGATATCCTGATTTCATCAAAACAATAAAAATGTTGGACTGATGCCATGCCCCAGGTTCTCATGAGTTTTAGGTTTTACGGTATATTAGTACATCGAGCATTTAATCATGAATTTTGGGGTCTTTTGCTTTGCGGCTTGTAGTATTTCTATTGTGCATCCTCTGGAAGTAGGTTACTTTGTTAACAATCAAATAACTCTTGTTTAAGGTTTTCACTGGGAAATGCATTGCAAGTTTTTACAGATTTCTCGTAGTTATTACTAGCTAAATCATAAAGCAAACTGTACCACACACAAGCATAAGATTTTCCACAGCCACTTGTTTCTCAAGCATTCATGGTACAAATATATTGAACCAGTAAAATGTATAAGAAAAATCTGTTAATAGAACAAACTTTCTATTGTAAAAATACAGTATTATAGGCTAAATTTCATATTCATAAATAAGTCAAAGAAGACCTCTCCAGGTTTTTGTTTGAAGCTCTTTTCATTCCTACAATATGAAATTCTTGAGCTGTTTGGTACTTTGAAATGAAGCTAATTACACTTTTAAAATGGAAATGTGCATTTCTGAGAACAATAAAAATGCATCAAACATGATTTGAAATGGACATCACATTGCTTTATTTGGTCAAAACCTGACTCAAACTATTCAAACATTTTTTTTAAAATTTCTGTTGTGACGCTGAGATTTTTCCTGTATGAAGCTGACATTATGCTTCAAAGAGTTAATGGTTAAGTCCATTTGCTGCTAAATTGAAACAGGCACCATGTAGATAAGTGGTGTCATGTAGCCATTTGTCTCGCACTGTCATTTTCATTGTGAGTTTTCCTTTTATGGTTAGAATAGCAGCAGTTCCAGGAAGAACTTAAATCACTGGAAGATACTGGTTGTGCTTGGAACTACTTTCTGCTTGTCTAGATTTATACTTGTAAGAGCCAAAGAGTAATGATTGATCCTCTTAACTGAGGTAACAGATTAACTCGTATTTCAGCCTTGTGCATTGAAACTGTCATTGCAATGAAATCAACATTTGAGATTGGTTCAAAAACAAGGATATTAGAAATGTTAAAACAAAGTGTTGAAAATTCTCAGCATTTTGGTTGTTTTTTTTAATGATACTTTTATCAGTGCAGTATGCATTATGTGGTTTCCACATCCTAATGTGATATTCTGAAGGCATATATCCAAATTATTTTTATTAAAATTTGATCATGTCTGCAGATGAAAATAAATGTCAATTTAATAATGCTTACTGGAATATTACAGGTGAAATATAGTCACAATGAAATGTCCATCAGATTTTAAACACTGTTTGAGGGATGTTATTAACTATGTATTGCAATTGTCTAGACAATGTGATTTTGGTGCCAGATGGGCTAATGATGCACCAAGGTGCATCCTCAGGGTATATTGACTGAGGAAGTGTCAAGTGAGACCGATGGAGAGGTAGTGAAGAAATTTGATGTATTTAACAGTATAAATAATTGATACTTTGGACTGCCCTTGTGAAAAAGAGCCAGTAATTTTATATTGTAATTGATCTCCAGTTAGTCGTTGATGCTTGATGTTATCACTAGGTTACTGTTGTAAGCATTTAAGATGCAAGTACTTTCCACTTTGTAAAAAGAGGCAGGCCCTAATCTGATTTTAAAAGGCTAAAAACCCTCTCATTTTAAATTTCATATCTCACGGAATGCATAACTAATCTGATTTCAAACTAATTTTAAGAAGGTGAAAGGCAGAATATTGAAGATGCTTGAAATCTGAAATAAAAGCACAAAATACTGAAACTACTTAGCAGGTCAGGTGCCATTAGTGAATAGACAAACGACATGAATGTTTCAGGTTGATGTTCTTTCGTCAGAATTGGGAAAGGTTAGAGATATAATAGATTTCCAGTCAGTCCTGAGTGGGGGAGGAGCAAGGGTGAGGTCTGTGATGCAATGATGGTGCAAGAAAAATATCAAAGAAGCAAAAGATTTGCTGAGAGCAAGTGTGCTACTGTCTGCAAGTGAAAAGA